TAGGGCTCGTAGGAGCTATAGCCTGACAGCAGACCACTCTTTGCAACCATGTCCCCAACGGGATGCGGGGGTGGACTCATCTGTTGTTGGGTGTTCCTCTTACTCGTCTCGCCAACTCTATCACGCGCTCTTTAGAGCAACGATATAATGGCCCCTCACTTATAACCTCCCTAGCAACTGGTTGTCCCATACAGTGAATTCTTGCCACTATTGCGCAACAGGCTCGCCCCCAACTACATCTATCACAAGCAATTGGGCTTGCGACATTCGCGGTCTTGTTCGAATTTGGCGCCATCACCCTCTCCTTCCCCCTCTTCATTCTTCTTTTTCTTCTCCTCAGCAAACAGTTCTTTTTCTTCTGCGGACACCTCACCACAACGTCTCTTCCGCCTGTTTTCCACCAAACCCAATGTCTGTGTCTCCGAGAGACGCAACGCTTCTCTTCTAACGACTCTTGCTGTCCTTTCGTGGGCAACCACGAAACTCTCTATCTCTTTTTCTGGTGCCTCGTCGTCTTCTCGATCTCTCACCGTCCTTCTTGCCATTTGTCTTTCTATTGAAACAAAAAAGAGGCGTAGCTTTACAGACACATGTTCCTCTGTTCGCACTTTTGGGACTATTCTTTTTTCCTAATTAAAGTTTTTCATTCCCAGCGAATTGTCCGATTTTAAATCTAACTAGAAAACATTGTAGAATTTTTCAAAAAAATTTTTACAGTATCTCAAAATCTATGAATCCCACTGAAAATTTTGAAGAAAAATATCCAAAGTTCTGTCGACGGACTCTCATAAAAATGCAAAACTTAATTTTCTTCAGAATCATGAATTCCTTCAAAGTTACTCTAATATATTTTTGAAAAAAAAGAAAATTGTGGCCTAATATTGAAAAATCATAAGCCCTTGTTTTTGAACCTATCGAGGCAAAAAAATAATGGAATTTGTATACGAATCAGAAATTTTGTACTAAAAGTTTGGCGAAAATTCTTGAATTTTCTTACATTTGGCCCGAAATTCCTTCTAGTCAACCCCATTTTGTCTCTGGCAATAATATTTCTTCCTATCCCTTGATTTTTCTCTTCTTTTTTTTGATTCATTCTTGGCTCTCTGCAGAACTGTGATTCAAATTTCGCGCGCTCACATAATTCAAATCCCCTTCCAACGATATTTACCCAGAGTGGGCGGAGCTTCTGCCCTACTCGGTCGACGTTCTTCTCCTATTTGTATGATCATTTGCATGTCCACAAGTCTGACACAATCCCAATGCGTCCTTTTTGTACCTCTCGCTTGTTGTGGGCGTCTCTCGAGTAACCAATGCTCTATCTGTTTCTCGCCGATCTCTTATAGGGGCTGAGATTGC